CTAGTCCCCTGACCTCCAAGTCTAGTCTGCAGACCTCCTCATCTAGTCATCAGACCTCCACATCTAGTCCCCAGACCTCCACATCTAGTCATCAGACCTCAACATCTAGTCCTCAGACCTCCACAGTTAAATCTCAGACCTCCACATCTAGTCCCCTGACCTCCACACCTAGTCCTCAGACATCCACATCTAATCCCTAGACCTCCAAGTCTAGTCTGCAGACCTCCACATCTCGTCCCCAGACCTCCACTTTTAGTCCCCAGACCTCCACATCTAGTCCACAGACCTCCAAATCTAGTCCCCAGACCTCCAAATCTAGTCCACAGACCTCCACATCTAGTCCCCAGACCTCGGCATCAAGTCCTCAGTCCTCCAAATCTAGTTCACAGACCTCCACATCTAGTCCACAGACCTCCAAATCTAGTCCACAGACCTCCACATCTAATCCCCAGACCTCCAAGTCTAGTCTGCAGACCTCCACATCTCGTCCCCAGACCTCCACTTTTAGTCCCCAGACCTCCACATCTAGTCCACAGACCTCCAAATCTAGTCCACAGACCTCCACATCTAGACCCCAGACCTCCAAATCTAGTCCACAGACCTCCACTTTTAGTCCCCAGACCTCCACATCTAGTCCAAAGACCTCCAAATCTAATCCACAGACCTCCACATCTAGTCCACAGACCTCCAAATCTAGTCCACAGACCTCCACATCTAGTCCCCAGACCTCCAAATCTAGTCCACAGACCTCCACATCTAGTCCCCAGACCTCCAAATCTAGTCCACAGACCTCCACTTTTAGTCCCCAGACCTCTACATCTAGTCCACAGACCTCCAAATCTAGTTCACAGACCTCCACATCTAGTCCACAGACCTCCAAATCTAGTCCACAGACCTCCACATCTAGTCCCCAGACCTCCAAATCTAGTCCACAGACCTCCACTTTTAGTCCCCAGACCTCTACATCTAGTCCACAGACCTCCAAATCTAGTCCACAGACCTCCACATCTAGTCCACAGACCTCCAAATCTAGTCCACAGACCTCCACATCTAGTCCCCAGACCTCCACGTTTAAACCTCAGACCTCCACATCTAGTCCCCAAACCTCTACATATAGTCATCAGACCTCCAAATCTAGTCCACAGACCTCCACATCTAGTCCCCAGACCTTGGCATCAAGTCCTCAGTCCTCCACATATCGTCCCCAGACCTCCACTTTTAGTCCCCAGACCTCCATATCTAGTCCACAGACCTCCACATCTAGTCATCAGACCTCAACATCTAGTCCTCAGACCTCCACATCTGGTCCCCAGACCTCAGCATCAAGTCCTCAGACCTCCACATCTAGTCCCCAGACCTCCACATTTAAACCTCAGACCTCCACATCTCATCTGCAGACCACTGTATTTGGTCCAGAATGCTGCTGCCTGTTATTCAACCTTCCAGTTCCCTCACTCCTCTCCTCTATTCATTCACTCCTGCTGCTGCTTGGTCAAGTTCAGAACTCTTGTTCTGGTCTAATATTCATAACATATTTGGTATAATCTATTCATCATTAAAAAATATACTCCAAAATCAATACATTTGAAAAACTGAGTAAAATATCTGTCAAACATTAGGAAAAAATATATAAAAAAGTAGCTGTAATGTACAAAACAATCATGAAAATGGTGAAGAATTTTAACATTCTGACAAAATCTGTAAAACATCTTAAAAGAAACAGTAAAATATCTGAAATAGACAAAATCAGTAGAATATGCTTTTATATGTTTGTAAGATTTGACATCGTCCCCACACTGTTGTGTCTCTGCTCCACAGTCAGTGTTAGTCTGTGCTATATGTGTGTCTGGTCAGCAGGGGGTGATATTACATCACATTTCACTGAGCAGCACCACAGCTGAGTGAAACCTTTAAATTTGTAGGAATAAAAACAAGCTGAGCTCATGAGAACACCTGGTGACAGGTGAGTGTTTAATACAGGACAGACTCTGATGTGAACATCAGTGATCCTGAATCTTCATCTATAAAAACGAGACGGGTGACAGACAGGTGTACACTATTAAAACAAAAAGATCCTTGAGGAACTTTGTTGACCATTCACTATAACTTTATTCACTGAGGAGTGGCTACAGTGGTCAGACAGGCAAAGTCGGGTAAAGAAACAAATACTGGAAACACTAAAGTACAAGGACCTCAGAGTTAGAGTCAAGTACTCGAGTAGATTTATTTAGTTACTTTCCACGATACTCGACACTCTGGTTGTTCCTATGATCTCATATATACATACTCTGGCTATATGAAGATATAAGCTTATAACATGAATGAAATACCCATAGTAAAATTTGTATATGTACATATATTTAAACAATATCTATCCATCTATCTTTTTACATGGTATAACATGTTTTAACTGTATTTGGTATCGATATATATTTAGATTATATATGCAATTTTATTAAAACAACATACATATCAAAATTCTATATGCTTATATATATCTGCAATATAAGCATACATACATGACATACATGACAGCTATTGTGTCGCGTATCAGGAACGGGCAGGAAGAGGAGTACAGGGATCTGACGACGGCCTTCAGGGAACGGAGTGACAAGAACTGCCTCCTTCTGAACACCTCCAAGACCAAGGAGATGGTCATGGACTTTCGGAGGTCTAGGCCCACCCTTCAGCCAGTCAACATTAGAGGGAAGGACATTAAGGTGGTGCACACTTATAATATATAATATATTTAAATACCTAGGTGTGCACCTGGACAGTAAACTGGACTGGTCCCTGAACACAGATGTCATCTACCTGAAGGGGCGGAGCCGGCTCTTTTTCCTCAGGATGCTCAGGTCCTTTGACGTCTGCAGTGAAATGCTGCACATGTTTTATCAGTCAGTGGTGGCCAGTGTACTCTTTTATGTTGCAGTCTGCTGGGGCAGCAGCATGTCCGACATGAACACAAAGAGACTGGACAAGCTGGTAAAAAAGGCTGGTTCTGTGCTTGACAGGAGTCTGGACTCACTCAGGACTGTTGTGGAGAGACGCATGCAATGTAAGATGGAGACCATCTTAGACAATACCAACCATCCTCTCCACAACATTCTGGCAGGACAGAGAAGCAGCTACAGCTGCAGCAAAGGTTCAGGAGATCCTCTGTTCCCATATCATTTATTTATTATTATTATCAATAATGAGCTACTGGACTACATAAACATACTACTACATGAGTTTTCATATATAATTTTTACATACATAAACATATACTTCTTTTACACACACACACACACACACACACACACACACACACACACACACACACACACACACACACACACACACAGTATATACATAATATTGTATTATTATATAATATTATATAATAATATATATATATTATTATGTTCTGTGATATTTTGATAAGTGTTAGCAGATGAGTCGTTCTTGCCTCCTGTCAAACACTATTAAATAACTGACCTGGAGTCAGCTGTTCTTTCTCTCTTCAGTTTTATTTCAGTGAATTGCTGCTCTCTGTGCTGACTGAGTGCAGTTCAACCAACTGAACCAGTTGAGCCAGTTGAACCAGTTCTCAGTGAGCAGGTTCTTGGAATAGTGACAGCAAAGAACATTGAACTGGAGGCAGATGAACTGGTCCACCTGTTCTAGGTAACAGGAAACAATCCCACAATACTCTGCGGGAAATCAGTGTATTTATACTTCAGTATGTTTCAGAGGGAAATGTCATACTTTTACTGTGCAGCGTAATAATATAACTATAACAGAACAGAGAGGTTGTGGAGATCCTGTGTGAACCTCAAGCAAAGGAAGTGACTCATGAACTGGACTAATTTTACTATTATTGTTTACTATTTATTATTAACTATTATTATCATTATTATTATTATTATTATTATTATTTTTACAAATCAGCTGCTGGACACCTGAATTTGAAATAGTAAAATGCAACATGAACATACATGTCTATCTTTTATATACATATATAACATCAACATATACTGACGGGCTTTGGGGTGAAAATGTATTTATGTAACTTATGTCTGCACTATAAAGATACATACTAAACATACATGTTTGCATTACCTTGACATATATGTAATTTGTTTTACATATGTAGACTATATATACATATATGTATATATATATATGATTTTACTACATATGTACATATATTTCATATATGGAAATTCAATATATGTACATATATTACATGAGCATATGGGCACCTCTTATCACTAACATGTGGTTGATTATTACTCATCTGATTTATGGCTCAGTCTCCTCTACGTATTTATATCTGTGCGTAGCTTTAATTCACATTCATGGAGCTGTTTTACTGGACTTTGCTTTGTTTCTTCTCCTCTGTTTTATCTGCTCTGTTTCTCCTGCATCATCATCATCATCATCATCATCATCATCATCATCATCATCATCATCATCATCATCATCATCATGTCTGAGACCGGTCATATCTTTTTTTATCCTGTTTTTCAGACCTGAACTGAAATTGTGGATTATTTGTGTTTGTGTTTATTCTGCAGCAGGACCTCAACATGTTTCTGCATCATTGGCAGATCACTCAATCAGTCTCATCATGTTTCATTCATTTATGATTGTCATATTTCATGTTTTCAGCCACTTATTTGTTTACTCATTGGATTTAAAGTAATAACATGTTGAGGTTTAAAATAGTTTAATTTAGCAAAGTATACAATTAAAAATAATATTTGAATCATTCTTTATAACAAACATCATGGCAAACTAAAAAAAAAACTCTACAACATACAGAAGATAGATAGATAGATAGATAGATAGATAGATAGATAGATAGATAGATAGATAGATAGATGAGCTGGAGGTGACGTAGGGCCGTGTGAATGACGTCAGCCCCTCTGTGTCTCGGGGTGTGTTTGTTTGTGAGAGGAAGAGGCTGGTTGGATGTTGGGCGGGGTCTGAGGAGACAGAAAGAGAGAGCGAGAGAGAAAACAGAAAAACCCTCTGATCCCAATACTGCTACTGCACGGACAAAAGAAGGAGAACATAGAGAGAGAGAGAGAGAGAGAGAGAGAGAGAGAGAGAGACCAGCAGAGAGACAGGCAGAGCGGAGGACAGACGGACGGATAGCTGGAGAGGATGGGCCGGCGGAGCGGCCGTCGGTAGCGCTCTGTTTTCGGGGACGGAGCTCCAGGATGAGCGTAGCGCTGCAGGACCTCCGGAACACCGTAAGTACACGCACACGCACACACACACGCTCACACACACACGCACACACATATACCCGCAACAAGAACGCGCCAGGACGCGTGACAGTTCCTGTGCCTCCCGGTTACACCGGGTCTGTTCTGTGTCTGCAGCTGCGGCTGATGCTGATCACCTGTCAATCTCTTTGTTTGATTGACTGTGTGACTGATCTCTATGTAATTATAGACAGCTCAGTGTGTGTGTGTGTGTGTGTGTGTGTGTGTGTGTGTGTGTGTGTGTGTGTGTGTGTGTGTGTGTGTTTGGTTGTGAGAAGGTTTGTTTGGGGTTTGTGAGCAGAAACATTTTCAGGCCTGACATCAGCTGATGTCAGGCGATCAACTGATCGATCAGTAAACCACACACATACACAGAGGTTAGGTCTTAGATTTGTTTCAGAACCACAGAAGAAGAAGAGATTTCCTGTAAACACAGAATCATGAGGCTTTAATCAGTTAATGGACAAACACATCATCAGTTTGTCTCAGTCTTTCAGAGTCCTGAAACTTTAGTCTCTAAAAACCTGCAAAAAAAATCATCTTAAATCTGTTTCCAATCAAAATCATCTTGTTTCAATGATCAGCTGCAGCAGAGGAAACATCAGGAACACAGTGAATTATTCCCATCAACCAGTCGCTGAACTGAAAACTTTCAAGTTCTTCCTCTGTCTCAGTGAAATGAGGATATTAGACCTGCTGCACCTGAGCTCAGACCTACCCGGTCTGAGCTCAGGTGCAGCACTTCTCACACTGCTTCAGTTAAAAGTGTGAGAAACAACCACAGGGTTTATCCCCTCCCTCTGTCATCACCTGACAACAACTAATATTTTCTTTATTGATTAGTTGAACTTCAGCAAATGAGAAAGGTCCATCAGAAAGGTCTAATATTCTGTTACCAGTTTCTCCAGTGAGTCAGTTTCTGAATCTGGGGCTGTGTGGGTCTTTCACTGTTGCTCAGATGGGTTAGGTTTAACATTTGAACTTAATCAATAAATTAATAAAAAGATTCATTAGTTTCAGTCCTGCTCTCTCTCCTCTCTGCTTCGTCACTGCTTCAGTTTCCAGATCAGAAAACTGGTGAAACTTGTTAGTTTAGTTAAATCACTCTACTGACTTTACGGCTAAACTCAGCCCTGTGTCAGCCCTGTGTTGGCAGGCCGGTGACTAAAGTGAAGCAGATTTAATGGACCAGGTGATTTTATTTTCAGCTGCTGAGAGAGAGAGAGAAGAGTCAGTGGAGAGAAGTCTGCAGTTTTCAGATAGCACCGTGTCATAATGTTATAGTTAGAACCAGAACCAGAACCAGAACCAGAACCTCGGTTATTGCCAAGCAGGTTTTCACGTCACAATCAAAATGTACACACTTAAAACTAAAGACCAGCAACAGTTGTATAATCATACATGAGAGACACTGATTATCATAACTGACACCCAGAAACTATCTGTAGCAGCTGACCAGTTGATTGACAGGAAATCACCCAGTAACAGTTCTGATCATTGATTAGTTTCTCTGATGTGGATATTTACTGTTGTCTGAATATGTTTTATTAATATAAGAGCTTCAGGGAACAATTAAAGATGATAAGTGTCAGAAGTGTGTTGATGATGGACTGATACAAGCTCACCTTAGGTTTTCTGTCTGTTACTGTGTCTGTGTCTGTTTTTTCAGTCAGACAGTGGATAGATCACCTCCACCCATACCACCTTAAAAATGACAGACTCTCCCTTTTATCCAACATTAACCAGAATACAAACACTAAACACTCCCGTATCTCTGCAGGTGAGCTAACAGCAGTCACTTGAGAACAGCTGATCATAAAAACTAACCAGAACACAAACATCAGTGATGAGGGATCATAATGAGTTCTTCCAGGAAACACAGATACACAGACAGTTCACCTGTTTGTCTGACGTGTGTTCGGCAATGAACAGAAAACATTCAGAGACCAGTCTGGTTTGGTGGGTTCAGGGACGTTCTTATAGACTTTGTGGAGGTTTGGTTTGATTGTGATCCTGATGCTTCTGAGAACTGACTCAGTTTGTGTTTGTCCAGGTTGGACTCCTGCTCTTCTCCTTCATTAACCTCTGTTCATCAAACATCGTTAGACACAAGAACAAAATATTCCAACCAGGAAGTTTCAAAATGGCCGCCCAACAAAAGGTGCAGCAACTGGTCTCAGTTATTAAACACCTACATGGAGCAGACTGTGAATGAGAGTGACGTCAGGTCCCTGCTGATGTTTTTGTCTCAGTATACTGAAGAACAAGTCATGAAATCTGAAGTACAATATTGAGGTACTTTAAACTACATTTATCCGGCAGCTGCAGTTTTACTGATTATTTATTTAGACACTAAACATATGATCAGTTTAATTCACTAAATGTGACGTATTATTATTATTATAGGTTAAAGGTCCTTCAACCTTCATGCTCACAGCAGATGAAGTTGTTGACCTGAGCAGAGTCTGAAGTCCTGAATTATTATTTTTTATCTTGTTCTGCAGGACAATGACATGAAATCATGAGGTGGAGAAATATCATTGTACTGACATCGTACTTTAACTTTTGAACCTTTAATTCAGCTGATGATACTTGTGTGCTTTTATATTTTTCACTCTGTGGTATTGAAGTAAAAGATCTGAATTCTACTTCTACCACTGCAAATGAAAATAATCGGGTATCATCAGACTCCATCAGACAGTTTGGACATGTTTGAAACTTTCAGATTCAGTGTCTGTTGTTGTAAAAGGTTGGAGTCTACGCAGACTCTGGTCCTCCCAACTACATCTGAACTCTCCACCACTGCCTGTGAGACCAGGTGAATGAGTTGTTTTAGTTGTATGATTTCTGGCTTTACAGCAACATCAGGGTCATCCCTATAATCTGGAATGTCTTTGACTGACTAGACTGACCGACTGACTATATTTCCTCGTCACCTCGTTTCTGGATCAAACAGGTTCTATTAGGGGATGTTAACAGCTGCAGTGTTGACGATTTAGCTCATTGTCTCTAGATTTAGAGACTTGTTTTCAGACAGACTGGGTATAAACCTGGTTCAGGTCTGGACGGACCAGGGGCTTAGGGCTATACTGAACCGCTCTGGTTTCCAGGCTGCTCGAAAATGATATTTGTGTCTCCTCTACCTTTCTCTCTGAGTGATCAAGTTACAGTAAATCCAGCTGAAATCACAGCTCAGTCTTTGTATAGGCCCAGACATGGACTAGGTTTAGACCTGGTCTTGATAGAAATGAGAAGGTGGGAATATGGGTCATGAAAATGCCTGAGATGATTCATACTTGATTAGTCTTTAATCAGTGATCTGGTCCATAACGCGTGAAGTCTTCAGTGATGATGTCTTGTCCAAAACCAAGAGATTCACTTTACTGTGTGAAGATTAAAGTTCCTCCAGACATGTTTTAAACTCCTCTCCTATGATTCATATTTAGTTGAACCTGGTTTTCACATATAAAAACTGGGTCTGAAGCTCTTACTCTTACTTCCTGATTGAGAAATGTGGATCAGCCCTTGAGCCCCGCCCACCACCTGCTTGCTTCAGGTGGACAGGTGAAAGAGCAGAGAGTATCAAGATGGTTAGAGGAGGAAACATCAGAGAGACTCAGCAACATGTTTGAGCCTCAGTCAGACCCAGACTCAGATGAGGAGTCTGAGACCAGAACCAGAGACTAGCAGACGGATCAGAACGGTTAGCGCAGTTAGCATCTTTTATTTGTTGATGTTGTTTGTTAGCTTGTAACTGGCAGTGGCTGACACAGTGTTAGCACTTTTGCTAATGCTAACACTCTCTGTACTGATGAGGTTTCAGGTTTATTTAGCCCCGCCCCCTGTCCCCACAAGTTGACAGGATTGGTTCCTTAGGTTTGTGATGTATGAAACCCTGACTGTCTGAATCTGTGTTTATGAGACTGTCATTGGTTCACTGCAGTTCAAGGTGGAAACACTCAGTCATGGTGTTGATGATTATTTCACTCATCATATGTCTGTATTATATAAAACCATAAAACCGTCAGCTGGTGTGTGTGTGTGTGTGTGTGTGTGTGTGTCTGTGTTGGGCAGGGCAGGGTTTACTGTTTCCTGTCTGCAGCTCTGTGACTTCCTGTCTTAAGACGCCCTGTTTCCATCTGAGCAACAAAACAAACCAAGACACCCTGGATGACCACTGCTGCTGCTGCTGCTGCTGCCTGGGTCCTGTGTTTGACCTTCATCATCTTTATCATCATCACATTACCTCTCATCATCTTCATCATCTTTGACTTCTACATCATCATCATCGTTTCCGTCTGAGCAACCCAACATTTCTCTTCTTCTTTGTCTTAATACCTGAGTTTTACCGTCTCCACCACCTTCATCTTCATCATATCTATTTTTATCAGGTTCATTTTCATCATCATCATCATCATCATCATCATCATCATCATCATCATCATCATCATCATCATCATCATCATGTTGTCCCATTGGTCGTTGCCCTTTCAAAATGATTTATTACATCATCGGGAGGGTGTTCATGTGTTACCTTCAGTCCTGGAGTAATCTTTTAACCTCAGACTGGTTTCAGTGGTTTCAGAGGTCGGGACCAGTACTGGTCTCTGGGGGTTTCATGAATGGCTCGTAGGTGAATAGAGCTCTGAGGGGGGAGGAGGGGCGGTGAATTAGGGTGGAGGGTCAGGAGACTGTGGGGGGAGGGAGCGTGCGTCCTGTCTTTGTGCTGTATTGTGCTGAGGATGTATTTATGTTCAGAGGTCAGAGGTCACAGAGGGGAGGCGGTGATGTAAAGGTTGCCGTGGTGAAGACCTGCAGGTGGTGAGGTCAGGAGGCGGCTGATGGAGGAGGGTTGGTCAGCAGTCAGCAGTTCACATGATGAAACCAGGATGAAATCAGTTTGGAAGCATGTTTGTTTCATCTTCATTCAGTGGATGTGTTGACGTTCATCTCTCCCTCAGGATGCCTGGAAAAACGGAGTCATC